TATATTCACTTATTTAATAATATATTATAATTACAATTCTACAATTTATAGTAACACTAACAACATTTCATAGAAGGCTTTGATTGCCTATGAGTCTTTGAGATAACAATAGTGGCAAAATTTACGGCACTGTTCCACACTAACAAGTCACCTAGCAGTTAGGATTACGAGTGGCTCTCGTTGGAGTAATGGTATCCATTGACTCACTCAGAGCAACCATTTCCTTTAAATAACTTGATACGGGAGTGCCCATAGGTCAATCTGAAAATTTAGAAGATTTAAGGTATGATTTATTTCTTCAAACTTAATATGTGAAAGAGATTTATTTTTTCAAGTCCAATGTGTGAGAGACTTGATTTTGGGTCCAATTTCTAGCTTTGATTGAAGATGCTTACCAGTCTAAAAAATATGAAAGTATATGTGTAATTAAAGTTCAAGATGTTTAGTTTTTTGTGGATAAAGTCTCGTTGCAATCCAAGCATTCTAAAAGAAGTTATGACACTTTAAACTACATGTTATCAAATTAAACATAAATATATCTGTTTGCATTCTCTATATGATTTTTAAAGTTTTGGACAAATTTTTAAATATTTTCAGATATTTCTAACTTTGTCATTAATATTTTGTAAGTTCCTATACTTGGAGGGATGTTCTGAGTAACCTATTTATATTTTTCAGTTTTTGTATCTAAATAAGAAAGTAATTGAAGTGTGAAGTCATTTCTAGAGCATTTGTACCTTTGAAATTTATCTTTTCTACTCTGTATCTCTTTGGTGAATTCCATTGGGTGGTGAGTTAACCCAGACCTATATCTTTAAGGTGATGCTTCATGCTTCTGTATCCTTAAAGTGATGGCCCATAATCCCATTTTATCACCTTATTTTTCCTACCCTACATCATAACTACTATCGGATCCTCCTCTAATACATCCTCTGTAATTTTTTTTTTTTCACCTCCATAAGAATTCTATTTTGAGAAACTAAAACAATTTACAGTTTTGGTGGCAAATAATGAATGCAGGGTTAATAAGCTGTCCCACAAACTGCAATTTAATTTAGCCTTTATATTTTGTTTTCTCTTGGAATTAAAATGTCCTGTTTGTATTTATTCTAGGTATCATTTGCAGCGGCAAAGTGGAAACTGAAACAAGCAAGAGGAAGAAAACGCACTCAATTCAATTGGGGTGTCTTTGTCGGTGCTGTTGTGTTCTCCTGCAAAACTGCATGTGACGTTGGTTTAGTTATTTATGTTGAATTGATCTTTATCTATATTTAGATAATTTATATTTGATTTTACTACCCATTCATTGATCTTGCTGAGTTGCTGGTTACAATTAATTGTATTCTTGCAAAGGTAAAAACCTAGAATTTGGATGTTATACAACTATACAAGGAACAAGTCCTAATGTCATATGTTGGTTTAATTATTTATGTTAAATTGATTTCTGTTTATATTTAAAAAGTTTATATTTAATGAACTTTAATTAATTGTGCTTGAACTTTTTAAAACTTTATTTTTTGTAATTGAATATTAGTTGATTATAGGTAAAAAAATGAAATTTATATTTTAGTGTTATCTTCAAAATCAACTTTTCTGGCTGCGTGACAGATAAAACTGTAAAAACGTGCCACTCACTTTGCTTAAAGTGAGAAAGAAAGATTCCCAGTAACCCTCACTACTTCCAAACGTGGAACTCAGCTACGAGTCGATGGAAAAACACCAGTTAAATAAACTATGAGATGCGCCCTAATTAGACGATTGTCGCAGAAACGAGGGTGCAATCCTGCATAAAGTTTCATAAATAATTGCCCTAAAAGAACATTAAGAACTTCCAACAACTAGAGCCAAAATGTTAGTTTGTTGATCAAAATAAAAGAGAAAAATAAAAGAAAAGAGAAAAAAGAGAGTGCATGGCGAGAAAACTAAATTGCAGAGTGGAAGTGTGATGCCGCCGCGAAAGCATAAAAACATAAAAAAGCAAAAGCATAAAAACATAAAGAATGAAATAAAAGATGAAGTATAAAACAAAACTTAAAAGAAGCTAAAAAGATGAATTTAGGGCAAAGTGCAGTAAATTGAATTGCAGAAAACTAAAAACATCGAGTGGAGATGTTCACAACGAAATAACAAAAATCAGAGTTAAAACTAATGGCAGCGTAGAGCTAAAGACTAAATTAGGAAAGTTGTTTGAGAAAACTGGATTTAAACTAAGATATTGCTTATAAAACTAAAATGTAAATAGCGCTAGGCTAGTTTTGTGAGAGGCTGGTCTTCTTCGCTTCGTTTCTTCTCTGCATACTTATAGCAATAAACACCCCTTGGCAGCATGCTTGGAGATCTGCGGCAACAATCTTAGAAACCAAAGGTAGCATGATATCTGAAACAACCCAATTAGTTTGTTTGTATTGCTAATTATCCTCCTGGAAGTTCGCAATAAGCGAACGATTTTACTGCCATTGTGGAAATAATCACTGAACCTTATTTGAAGAGATTTACGCCAACAACTTTTAACTAATGAAATAACTATTAACATGGATGACACGTGGCACCATTCTATTTTTTGCAAAAATGGGTATAAACATTTAGTATATATTGACAGGAACGAGGATTATAGGCAAAATCTACCCCGTCAAAATTCCCCAAGGTGATCCCCACCCCTACCATTAGTGGGGACAAGAACAAGAAGGGACTCTTTAACCCCACGGAGCCCCGTTGCCACCCCTAGTTAGATCAATGAGTAAGTTTAAGGGCAAGATGATAAGATCTAGCTAGAGAGAGGGAGATTGGAGGAAGAGATTGCGAGAGTCTTATGGGTAAAAGAAACAAAGGAACTGGAAGCGACTGCCATTGCCAGAAGGGAGAGACAGGGGAGCAGAGAGCTCGAAGCGGGAGCTAGCTGAAAGTTAATGAACAAACGAAGCAAGGTCTATTGTGTGTTATAAATGGCCAACCTAAGCAAATGTTATACCAAAAATGACTTGAATAAGATGAATGGGCCAAGTCCATGAAAACTTGACTTAAGCTCAAGAATCCTACAGAATATTTCAATCAACTGTTTTATTTGAAGAATACTTTGGAATAAATAGGTGATACACTCTCATTGAAACTCTCATTGAAAGATCAAAAACTTGCTGGCAATCTAATGGGACCACATGGAGGTTATTATAATATTATTGGATGTCCTCTCTACTAATTCTCTCTCATTCATTCACACCACCACACTCACTTCTCCTGTCTCATATTCATCTTCTCTAGCTCTCTACTAACACTTACACTAGTAGTTCCCTCCTTTGATCGATATTTTATGTTAAGCATCAGAGTGCCAAGTCAAAAACTAACTCTGGTCTCTAGCTAAACTCTAACACCTTCCTGTTTTACAAGTGTTTGGCTACCACTTTCCTATCTTGCAAGTTTCCGACAACCTCCTTCATAAAACTTTCTACCCAAAATCCTGCCAGCCATTTTTTGGTGTCAACAGCAAATAACGCCAAAAAACTGGCTTCTTTTGCCATGAAGAAAGGTTGAGGGTGAACAAAACACAGCTAAATTCACCTAAATTTTCAAAACTTGGGCAACCCCAAAATCAAATCTTCATTGATTGTACGTTTGCCTTGGAGATTCAAGAACCAAAAATACTACTTCCTCTGTTCTAAAATATAAGTTGTTAGTTTCATTTTGTAACATATAATTGTAAATAATATTTTTTTATAATATATAAATAGTAATTGAAATTTTTTTATACATAATTTTTGTTGAGTAATACATAAAAACATTAAAAAAAATCAATTTTTAATGACCTACCATATAATTATATAAATAGAGACAATAACAACTAAAAAGGATTTTTTTTTTAAAAAAAAAAAAGGGAAATGATGTAGGTAATCTATTTCTATTTTGAGAAAACTCTGTAAAGGGTTATAATTATGTAAGCAGAACGATCATAATGAATAAAAAAATGAAAATAATAGTCTCATATTATAATTGTAATTGTAATAGAAAATAAATTTCCAGAGATGATGACGTTACAATGAAATGTATCTTAATAAAAAAAATTTT